TATGGGGTGTCAGCTTCGGCTTTGTTCTCAGCGAGCCTTCTGCTCCCGCATCAGAATGATTCAGCAGCCCATCTAGCAAATAGAAAGGAGCTCCTTTGAGCTGCAGAAAAGGAAAAGTTTTTAAAGGAAGAGAGGGAGCCAAAAAGAGGAAATTATTAGCAGAGAGTACATTGTTTCAGGCAAGGTCGCCCTTCTAAGGGGAGCAGAAGGGCCTATCAGCAAATTTCCTAGTGCTGACCAAGAAATGCATGTGGACCATTAAAGGCTACATGCCTGGGGGGTTGAAACTACAGTCAGGTTGGCATAGTACGTCTTGGTTTATTTATTCATATGGAGCCCTTGACATAGGTGACTCCATTTTTTATTAAGATTTTATTTTTAAGTAATCTCTACATCCAGTGTGGGGCTCAAACTCAACGACCCCGACATCAAGAGTCACATGCTCTACTGACTGAGCCAGCTGGGTGCCCCAAAAGTGACTCCATTTTAAACCTGCGGTTTTCTTTTAAACAAAATGAATGGAAGGTTGCAGCTTCCATAAGCCCACATGAGCTAGCGTAATTAATTACTGTTAAGGGACACTGGGACTTTCCTATGGAAAAAAAAGTGTGTTCAGAAGGAATGATTAAACTCTCTTCTGTCCAGAAATAGAGCTTGACAGAGTCAAAACTAAATACAACGTTAAGTGAAAGTGTATTCAGTTTCCACTTAATTAGAAGATTGCGAACAAAGCCACAATGGACAAATTTAGGCAGCACTGGTCATTTTCGTTCAATAGATGGAGCCAGAGTAGAAAGACAACAGTCTGGCAGGTTGCGAAACCGCACAAAGAGGGATTTGAAAGTGGGACTCCTCTGTGGATTCCAGCCCCTCAGAGTCCATTAGGCAGCCACCCGGGGCTCTGGCCCTTCGCCAGTCCGTTGACCCGGGAGGTGGGCGGGCTCTTTCTGAGCCAGTAATGTAAGTACCTCTGCCTTAAACAGTTCCAGGCTCCACCTGCTCATTCTCATGCTTCGGGCTGCAGTGAAGCCTTCCATGGCTTTCCTGGCAGAGAGAGGTCCTCCCTGCACCCCTCAGCCACGCAACCTGTTTATTTACTCCCGGGCTAATCAGCCTCTGTAATTACATTTTGTTTGCATGTTTATTATCTGCTTTTCCTGCTAGCACCTAAGTCCCGGACAGGCAGGCCTCGGGCCTGACCGTTGGTCACAGCATGCTCAGCACCCAGCAGACGGGCCCCAGCACGCGGTGAATGTTTGGGAAATACCTGTTGAACGGATTAATTGGAATTCTGGGTTGTTTGAAGTGCCAGGCACTATGCCAAGGTTTTTACCTACATTTTCTCCTTTATCTCTCGTGAAATAAACATTTACTGTGGAAAAGCTAAAGCTTCAGGAGGCTGTATAATTTGTCCAAGGTCACATAGCAAAGCTGAGCATTAAAACCAAGTCTTTCCGATTCTAGAATCTCTGCTGTCACCTTACGCAACTTTCATAAACAAACAAACGTTTTGTAAAGCAAGCGGTAGTGCATTATGGTAAAGATTTCACAGGAAAGTCAAGGGGGAAAGTAGGAGATGCCGGGCGATGGCCTGTAGCACTCAGCTTTGTGATTGCTCCAACATTTGCTCCTGCACCAGGCATTCCATATAGTTCAAAATGAAATATGCTGAGACTGGATCCAGATTTAAAGGAGAAGATGTAGGATCTTCTCTTCATACCTCCTCCTCTCCTTTCTTTGTCCACAGCTCATGCTTCCTTCCAACTGACTGTCTCCTTTCTTCACTCTCTGGGCACACTCAAAAAAAGGGAAAAAAGTAGACCGTGTGACTATATCATTGCAAGAAGGAAGATCCGGTGTTGGACAAGTGTAAGGTAGTCACACTTCGACAAAGAGGGACACTTAGAAGGTATGAAAAGTAGCAAAGTAGAATGCACAAACATCTAGATGGCCCATAAAGAAAGATCTGGGATCCAGAGATGGAAGTGTATATGTGGGTGGGAGACAGGGTGTGCAGGAGTGGAAGAGAACAACACTGAACAATAATGACCCACATGTAACAGAAATCGTGTGAAACTGAGAAGCAGCTTGTTACATTAGTGCTCAGGACAAAATATGATTCAAATTCTGTCATTCTTTCAATAATATGAGTGTCACAATTAAGACTAAAACTAACAAGTGAATACAAGTAAAAGACCCAGCTTAAAATCTCAAATTTTTAGAAATAATATTCTATTTGCATCTCCTAGCACTGCTGCAGAAAGTGACTCATACTTACAAAGTCCAGAAAGGAGCTAAATTACAGTGCTTCAATACAAAACGATTACCCTGGCGTACTCTAAATTTTCCTTAAATAAGTGAAAAGAAGGCCATGACAGAAAAATCCTCATGCACAGCTTGTGTAGAAGCCCCCAGGAGGCAATTGGCTAACTGCCTCGACATGTATCCAAAACGGGGTGAAAACGTGAACATTTTGCACTTGTTTATCAAGTTCAGGTTGAGGATCAGCCAGGCCTGTGGTCCCTGGAAAGTGTGACTGGAGTCCTAGCTCGCTGTTTACCCCTTGCTGCATGCATTGCAGTGACAGGTTTGCACGCCCCCGAGTGCGTCGTTCCCTGAAAGGCTGGGAGGTCAGAAGGAAGGTAAGGGTGTCCGCCCTGCACCACACACCTCTCCCACTGCTGTGGTGGGGGTACTCCCGGTGCCTAGACTATTCCATCCTGCTGCCTGAGGCGGGGGTGTTCTCATCAGACGGGGAGTGATTCAGGGGAAGGGACTTTCTGTTCTCCATGCACCCTCTTCAGAATCCAAAGTGAGCAGAGAGAGTTTCTCTAAAATTATATCTAGTTACTTTTCTTTTTTTTTTAAGATTTTTTTGAATTTATTCATTTGAGAGAGAGAGAGCATGAGCAGGGGGAGGGTCAGAGGGAGAGGGAGAAGCAGACTCCCCGCTGAGCACGGAGCCTGACTTGGGGCTCAATCCCAGGACCCTGAGAACATGACCTGAGCCGAAGGCAGATGCTTAACCGACTGAGCCACCCAGGCACCCTTTCTCTTTTCTTTTTTCTTTTCTTTTCTTTTCATATTTTTGTACTTACTATAGGAAAATAAACGTGTTTTAATTTTTTTCTCTTAAGAGCTAGTCACCTTTGTTTCCCCTTTATGGGGGAAATACAGGTATTTAATAATTAGTGTTTGGGATAGTAAAGAAGCTCCATTACGAAGTGAATTCCAACTGGGCCAAAGATTTAAATGCATGAAAGGAAATCTAAAGGTACTAGAGAAAACATAGAAAGGACCCCCATTAAACATGGTACACTGACCATATATGCCTTTATCTTCTCTCCTTGCACTGAGCTATACAGTGACCCCCAAGGATGTGTCCAGGCCATAATCCCCAGAACCTGTGAATGTTCCCTGATATGATAGAGACTTTGCAGATATGATTAAGTTAAGTCCCTTCAAATAGATAATCCTCGGTTATCTGTGGGGCCCCTAAATGTAACGACAAGCATCTTTGTAGGAGAGATGGAGGGAGGAGATATGACCACACCACTCTGCACCATGAAGATTCAAAGCAGGCCATAGTAGATCAGCACTCTGGCTGGCATCAGACTGTCCAACAGCAATACAGGATTCTAGGAGACAGCAGAGCAACACCCTCGAAATTCAGAAATAAAATATCACGGAAAAGTTTGTATCCAGCCAACTCCCCAACAAGTGTAAGGGGAAAATAAAGGTATCTTCAGACATGCAAAGTCTCAAATTATTTGCTACTTTGCATCATCAAGTAGGAGGAAGCTCCCAAAGGGCAGAGTTCCACCACGGTGTGGTGTAAACAAGGAAGAGGCGACACGGGATCCAGAAAAAAACAGAGGATGCACCCAGCAGAGGGGAAGAGGGGAAGTGCTAGGATGCCGGGTGTTCATCACACCTGACAAGCAACCCTCCCGAGAACAGACGCCTGTGTCAAGTGCGAAAGGGAGACATCTAAGGAGAGAAATTTAGAACTGATCGATTATTCCATGTGTTGAGAGTTTGGGGGGAAATGATTACTACAAGTTTTCCAAGTCTGTTGGATCATTTGAGGGGAAAAGTGGTGATGATGTATAGAAAAGGAGGCAATTTGGCTGGGGGTAAGGGTGATTAGCGGTTACTAATGCCAGAAGATAGTTATCATACTGTTTGGTTTAGCAGTGAGTAATATTTCAGTCTTAATTATGTAAACACTGACTTTTGACTAAACTAGAGATTTTGATGTCACCATATTGGCAAAAGGCAGGGAGTGAAGTGGCAAACGTTAGAGTCAGATAAGAAAAACTCCAATAATTTCTTTTCCAAGACTGTAATCTATATAGTATATTGTAATATGTATTATATATATTATAATATATATATATATTTTAAAGTAATCTCTACACCCATTGTGGGGCTCAAACTCACAACCCTGAGATCAAGAATCATATGCCCTACCGACTGAGCCAGCCAGGCGCCCCTCAATCTATTTTTTTGACATATGTACAAAGAGGGTCACCACATCATTGAACAAGAAATAGCAAAAATGGAGACAACTTGAATACCTATCCTTTGGAACAGGTTAAACGGATCACAGTTAAATGGGGTATCATGCAAGCATAAAAAAAAAAAAAAAAAGTCAACCTGGTATATACAACATGAACTATCTCCAGAGAGTGTATACAAAAATACTACGCAAACAAAATCAAGGTGGGGAAGAGTGGGTCCAATATTACAGTAGTACCACCATTTGGTGGGGGCGGGGGGGAACGACATCTATGGATCAGTACATGCATCTGCACAAACATTGAGTCTTGTGTATGTACAGTCTCTGGAAAGATCGACAAGAAACTGCTAATAGTGGTTGATTCTAGAGCGAGGAACTGTGGTCAGGTGGGCAGGGTTAGGTAAGAGACCTACTTTTCACTCTCTACCATTTTGTTATTTAAAATTTTATGCTGGGAAATGTATTACCTAGTCGAATGACTTTTTAAAGGGAGGAGGAAAACCAGTCTGGCAAGAGGAAGGAAAGTTTTAAACAAAACAAAACAAAATTAGCCCCCTTCACAGCACAGCTTAACACATCTAACATGTCACTGCAGTATTTTTAGCATCTCTCCTTTAGGTGGCAGCATCTGCGCTTTGGGGGACGCCATCCATCCGCCTGGCCTGGAGGGTCAGTTCAGAAATAGTGTTTGGATGTCTTATTTTTCCTTTTCATAAGAAAAAAATTCTTAAAATGTTTATTATATTTAGAAAATGCATGACCTGGAAATGTTCCTGAGTGTTGTATACAAAAAACAGGTTACCGGTTTGAGGGGATGTGAAGCAGGCTGGAAATATAATTCACCAAAATGTTGACAGTGATTTATTTCTGGGTAATAGGACAGTTAGTAGGTGAATTTGCTTTTCCCTTGGTGCCTCCCAATGTTCTGCAATGAACACGGTGTTTTTCAAAACCTTGTTTCTCCTCCTTGCCATCAGCCTCCTCTGGCCCCGGAAAGCTGAAGATGGTGTGGGCTTGAGAGTCATCTGGCACCCAGACATTTCCAGTCTCACCAAGTTCTTTAATGTCTGAACTGTGGAATGAAAATAATGACAGAGAATAGGACTATTAAAGCAGAGCTCAAGGGGTAAAGGATCTTTTTAATAGTCTCCAAATCCAGAAGCAGATTTACTGTGCGGTTGATAAAGCTTATGCTTCAGGGCCTCCCCCTCCCTGAAACTAATCCCTTTCCAAATGTATCCCATTTGAATTCATAATTTTAAATTACAGGGCCCATAAATTATCCCGTTACAGAACCTACCAAACCCAGATCTGCCATTGCCAAAGCACACCAAAATATTCTTTGACAACTTTTTTGCTATCGTTGTGTGAGGCAGTCTAGTTCTAACTATGATTTGAGGGGGTCGAGGGTGGGGGGTGCCTATAAACTCCCCACTAAACTGGGAGGCCAGGCCTCAAACACGCTGTACCCTTGCTGCCGAGCCCATGTCTGGCACATTTCAGGTATTCAGAAACCATTTCCACTGTTAAATGGCAGTGAATTTGCATGGAGAGGTCAAAGTCTGCCTAACCATTTCTTATTCCTGGAGAAGTTGAGGAGTAGGCCTCGTGGAGCTGGTTCTGGTGGCCAGCAGAAAGGGGGCTCTGTCTTAAGTAAACAGGGCCACAGAGATGACTCCCCGTCCCCAGAGGAGCCCTGGGGACTGGTGAGTGGATCCCGCCCAGTGCCTTATCATCATGGACTCTGTCCCAGGAAAGGACTCTGTCTCCCCTCTTTGAAAAGCTGTGTCAGCATATTTGTCGTGAAACAAAGAAGAAAACAAACCTAGCATGTGCCATAAATCTCTCAAACACAAGAATGCAAACTGACATGGGTTACCAAATGACAAGAGTGAATAAAAACATCAGTTGCTGTATGACCCAGCATTCCACTTCTGGATATACACCCAAAAGGACGGAAAGCTGGGATGCGTACACCATGTTCATAGCAGCATCGTTCATAATAGCTGAAAGGTGAAAGTAACCAGTGTTCATCAGCAGATGAACAGATAAGCAAAATGTGGTATATACATACCACGGAATAGTATTCAGTCTTTTTAAGTTTTTTATTTAAGTAATCTCTACACCCCCTGTGAGACTCGAACTCATGACCCCGAGATCAAGAGTTGTATGCCCTTCGGACTGAGCCAGCCAGGTGCCATGGAATAGAATTCATTCTTAAAAGGGAATGAAATTAACACACATGCTACATTGAACCTTGAGGACATTATACTAAATGAAATAAGGCTGTCACAAAAGGACAAATATTATATGATTCCGTTGATACGAGTTATCCAGAGTAATCACAGTCATAGAGACAGGAAGTAGAATGGTAATTGCCAGGGACTGGGCCAGGGGGAAATACGGAGTTGTTTAATGGGTGCAGAGTCTCCGTCTGGGAAGATGAAGAGTTCTGGAGATGAATGGTGGTGATGGTTGCACAACAGTGTGATTGTACTTGATGCCACGGAACTGTACACATAAAAACAGTAAATGTTATATATATTTTACTACAATGAAAAAAGCATGTGCCAAAAGACAACCAGATAGAACAAGGAATTAATACTTTGCCATATTTTATCAGTATCTTAATGAGACCAGGTTGATTGTCTATTACAGAACTGTTCTGGGGGCACCTGGGTGGCTCAGTTGGTTGAGCATCCGACTCTTGGTTTTGAATCAGGTCATGATCTCAGGGTTTTGAGGTCAGGCTCCGTGCTCATCAGGGAGTCTGCTTGGGATTCTCTCTCCCCCTTTCTCTCTCTCTCTTTTCTCTCTCAAATAAATAAATCTTTATTACAGAACTGTTCTGTAATGTAGATGTGAATTATCTACTAAGCCTTACTACGTGTTAGCAACTGTGCTAAGGGAATTGTGTACGTTGTCTTAATTCTCGAACCCAGCCTGTATAGATACAAGTACTATTATTATGGTTGTTTACAAGTTGAGAAAGTAAGACTTAGGAAGTTTTACATCATTTGCCCAGAGGGCAGGGTTAGTGCCTGGTAGAGCCCAGATTCAACCTTGGATTTACTAATGGGAAGCATATTGCTAATTTCAGAGTTTGGGGTCTGTTTGGTTTTTTTGTTTGTTTTGTGTGTGTGTGTGTGTGTGTGTGTTTTGTTGGTTTTTTTTTTTTTAAGATTTTATTTATTTGTCCGAGAGAGAGAGAGAGAAGGCGCGCACAAGCAGGGGGAGCTGCTGGCAGAGGGAGAAGCAGGCTTCCTGCTGAGCAGGGAGCCCAATACAGGACTCAATCCTAAGACCCTGGGATGATGACCTGAGCTGAAGACAGGCTCTTAACCGACTGAGCCAATCAGGAGTCCCTGTTTTTTTTTTAATAAACATTTTTTATTGTTATTAAGTTAAACACTTGTTTGAAGAATTTCTAAGGAAAGGAATCTGAATCAGGAGAATCCAAATGACATTGCTATGCCCGGAGAGTATAAGAGTTGAACAGCCCTTCTTTCAGTATTATACCTGAAACAGTGCCTGGGGTTGGCGCCTGGGTGGCTCAGTCAGTTAAGTGTTTGACTTTTGATCTCAGCTCAGGTCTTGATCTCAGGGTTGTGAGTTTAAGCCCTGCTTTGGGTTCCACACTGGGAGTGGAGCCTACTTAAAAAAAATTAAAATAAAACAATGCCTTGGCAAGTGGTCCCTCATATTTACTATGGAGTTGCAGTATTCAAGTCTAAATCCAAGGGTAGAGGAATTGGAAAAGCAACGATGAGCAAATATTCCAATTTAGATACAAATAATTATAGCAAATATTCTAAAATGTCACCTTAAACCTTTTTTTCTCAGACTTTATAATTGTAATTCCTGACACATTGTTCAGTATTAGATTTTTTTAATAAGCATAAACTGGGCAAAACACTGAGACCAACTAAAGAATTCAGGGATTGTATTCTGTTAATTTATAGGACTGCATCTTCCCCCAAAGGATTGACTGGATGTGTTATTATATCTTTTCAAATGCGTATGTGCTGTGTGTGTGTGTGTGTGTGTGTGTGTGAATACACATACACAGTGGTAGATTAAGATATGCGTTTACCTCTCCGACCTCCAACATCCCCATCAAAGTAACAGAAAAAATTCTTTGAAGAGAATATGATGACATCATAGGAAACAAGAAAAAGCGTCATCAGCAAACCAGAAGTTTTGAGAATTTCTGAAAGAAAAAACAGATAGATGAACTGATGAGAAAGTGTAGCACAAACTGTAGGCCCGGGCATAAGAACTGAGCATGTGTCTTCCCAAGGGGGCCCCAGAAGGGACCTCCTGCTCCCAGGACAATACAATACAATGATGGGCTGTGAGGCCATCATCAGTGGCCTCATTAAGGAGCGGGATGCAGTCCTCCGCACAGCTGGGCCCCTTTCCTCCGATCTGTGTAAACAGAGCTCGGCTGCTGAGACTTTTGCCCTCAGGCTAAAAGCCAGTGAGGCGCTCTAGAAAGCAAGCTATCTCTCAGAGAGCATTCTCAGTGAGGACTGTGCGGCCTAAGAGGAGATACTGAAGAAATTCTGAATCTCTATAATAAACTCAGACTGGAAATCACCAGACTTCAAATACACCTCCACCCCTCCACCCGGAAACCTCTGGGCTTCCGGATCTGCTCGCTTGTGCTTTGCCCACAGGAAACCCTACTGGGAAGCCTTCCTGTCCACAGACTCCACCTACTTATACAAAAACTGCTGTCAATCATTCTGTTCTGAGTGAAAAAGCTTAGAGAAACAAACGTAAACCCCCAAAAGGAAACCCACACAAGCTACTGATACTAAATTAAGGTGTTTGTGTAGTTCTTCATTCATTCCTATAAAAGGACAACATGGAACCTCAGACTTGGGAGAAAAAACAACACAAAAGGGAAAGCCTTAGAAAAATAAATAACTGAAGCTGGAAGAAAAAGATAATCCACACACTTAAAGAGTATTTACGAAAAAAAAAACAACCCTAATGAATGCACGCACAGATCACTCACATTCTTAACACCTGTGTTAGCCAGTTAATACAATTAATATTTAAAACAGTTTCAGTAAGAGCAATAAAAATGCTAATTCATATCAGAAGAATTCTTTTAAGACGATTATAGTTTGCGATGAAAGGTAACAATCAGACAACATGAAAGAGTTCTTGGAAAGTAAAAATCAAAATTTCAATGGAATTTCTAAGTAGTAATATAAATACAATAGAAGATCAAGTTGGTTACCTGAAAGATAAAAGAAATAAAATGACAGAAAATATGAGAAAAAATTAAGATGCATGGAAGTTAGCTCTAAGAAATCTAATACTTCCCTAAAGGTGATTCTAGAAGGTAGAGGGGACCATGGAGAAAAAGAAATAGTCAAGAAAATAATGAAATAAATTTATTTACACTCAAGAGTTTTTAGATTGACAAAACCCAACCATTACAGAGCAGGAAAAGTAAACAAAAGTACATCTAGAAATTTTAGAATTTCTAAGAACAAAAAGAAAACCCTAAATGCTTCCAAAGAGAGGGCAAATAAAAGAACAATAATCGGGCTATCATTGCAATTTCTTTTCAGCAGTACTAGTCACTAGAAGATCATTCATAAAACTAATGTATAGAGAGTGTATACTGCATGCTAGACACTGTTCTAGGTGCTTGTGATGTATCAAGGAACCAAACAAAGTCCTTCCTGGTGGGTCATTAGCAGAATGTATTCCAGGTTCTGAGGGGAAACAAATGGATCTAAACTTGGCCAAACTACTAAGCAAATTTGAGTGCTAAAAGAAAGACCAAAATTTTTAGACGTTCAAGATTTAGAAAGCCTACTTCCTGTACAATACAAAACCAAAGCTCAAAGAAGTAATCCAACAAATTGTAATCCAAGAAAGAAAACAAGAAGCAATGCCATCTGACTATGACCCAAAGGAAGTGAAGAAAGCAGGAAAAGGAGGAAAGGACAAGAGGGAGGAAGGATCTATTAGTTCTTCAGGTTGAGAAGAATCTCACTTAAGCCGCAAAATTTCAATTAAATAACATTACATTTCCTTCTCAATTGAGGTTCCTCTACACTACTCAGTTGTTCATAACAGCTGGTGGCTACAGATGACCTATGTGCCTGGCACTGTGCTGTGAGCTTTATATGGATTAACTCTTTTAATCTTCCAAAGACTTAATTATAATTACAGAGCCGAATATAAATATAGTAAACCATGACCACGTATGTATGGAGGGATGTCTATGTGTAAATCTATCCATAAAACAAAAACTTAGAAGTAGACCCTCTTACGTAACTGGGAATCAAGAGCATCTTATCTAAATAAATCCAGAAGTAGAAGTTTGGGTATTTTTTAAAGTTACAAAGAATAATTTAAAATATAGTTTTTAGAAAAATTAGAAATACAACTGGATTATAAATAATATAACTAACACAAATTAGGAGGTAGAGGGGCACCTGGGTGGCTCAGTCGGTTAAGCATCTGCCTTCGGCTCAGGTCATGATCTCAGAGTCCCCAGATCAAGCCCCACATCAGGCTCCCTGCTCAGCAGGGAGTCTGCTTCTCCCTCTGCCCCTCTCACCACACTCTCTTTCTCTTTCTTTCTTTGCCTCTCTCAAATAAATAAAATTAAAAAAAAAAAAATTAGGAGGTAGAGAAGTTGGGAACAAGTATAAATATTCTTCCTTCTCTTTCATAGATGGAAGTCAGTAGACACTTTCCAAAGCTGATAAACTGAGAAACAGAGCTGTAAGCATATTTTTTTAAATTATAATAGTAACTGCTACATGACCTAATAGCAGTAGCTGTTAACGATGCCTGTATGGAGAGCATCAGCCTGGGCTGGAGTGGTATAGAGATCACATTTATTTTATACTCTTCTGTACTGATAAAATTTTTTTCTTATTACATGAATATTAAAACTCTAAAATAGAAATGAACTACTTCAATAATAGTAGATACATTAATTTTTTGAAGAGTGGAAAAAGCCTAAATGAATCTTTTCCACAAATACGGCAATAATACTTAATATAGGCATATGTAATTGAAAGAGGGAGTTGCTTAGTCATAGCTGCTAAATGTATACAAAGGCTCGTGGTTTTTAGGAAAAGTGTCTTAGGTCAAAGAGAGCTTAACATATTATCTGCTTGGCTTTTTTAAGTTGGAAAGAAAAAGTAAAACCCACTCTTCAGTTTTTCTAATTATGAAAAGTTGCAAGTATCATGTGTCCTAACCCTGTTGATCCTACAAATGGCTCAAAAACTGATGAATCAAAGACTTTGAACTTTCAAAACAAGGAATTCATCACTGAGGATTACTCATCTGTCAAAGTAGAATAATGTGCAGTTTGTATTAAGCAACCTTCTCTAACAGTTAGTATTTATTTATTGAGCCAGGGAATGTGGTGGTGTAGTGGACAGAGCACGGGTCAGAAAGTCTGTCTTTCCCCGCTCTGCCCCCAACTAGCCTAGTGACCTGGCCACCACTTCATCTTTAGTTCCTTCCTCGGTCGAGAGTGGATAAAATCACTCTCCTCGCTACTTCATATTGTCCGTGTGAAGATCAGAAAGGATCGATCAAAGGGAAGTCCTTTGAAATATTTGAGTGCGCTCAGATTACAATGTAGTATCATTTGGATGATAGAACTTCAAAAATAGAAAGAACTTAGAAATTACCCAAATTTCTTTAATTCACCGTTTCATTTTCTCATCTATTACTTGCTTAGAGCCCCTGCATATATTATTAATAGTCTTACAGTAGAATTTGATTTAAAATTATATTCTTCTGAATTACCTCCTCTTCTAAAATTACAAGGAATCATAGGCTATTCATGCTGCAAGGGATTGCCAGTCACCTCGTGTTTTAATCCCCTGTTTTAAACATGAAGCAATATTAGCCAAAGAGTGTATCTGGCCTAAGATAAACATAGGACAATGAACCCAGACCCTGGGTTAAAAGCCAGTCCCCAGACTTCCAGTCCACAGCCCTTTTCCATGTCACTGCTGAAGCAAGAAATGAATGCCCATTTATGGATAATCACAGTTAATAAAGGTATATACTGCCCTGACGAGAGTATGCTAATTATTTCTAACTATATTCAAAAGATGTTCCTTTCCTCCGGGTGCCTGGGTGGTTCAGTCAGTTAAACGTCTGCCTTCGGCTCAGGTCATGATCCCAGCGTCCTGGGATTGAGCCCCACTTAGGGCTCTCTGCTCAGCGGGGAGTCTGCTTCTCCCTTTGTCTCTGCCCCTCCTTGTGCTCTCACTCTGTCAAATAAATAAAATCTTAAAAAAAAAAAAATGATTCTCAAACAGCAATTATGTGACAAACTGAACAACAAAAAAATGTAAAAATGAAGGAAAAAAATTTTTAAAGTAATTATACTTAAAAAGTAATGTAAATACACAGACTCAAATCTGCTCTCTAAATAAAACAAAGATCGAAAGTTATCAGAACAATTAGGCATTTAATAGTCACATTAATTACCAACATTTCAGTAAAACTTGACATCCTTTTGTCCTTCACACAAACCCATGGAGGAGAGGCAGAAGATGTAATGGTTAAGAAGACAGGGTTTTCAATCAAGACATGAGTTTAAATCCCAGCTCTGCCATTTACGAGATACATAGATTTTAAAAATGTTCTCAACCTCCCTCAGCCTTGTTTCCCTCATCTGTATTATGGGAATTGTGATAATTCTTTCATAGGGTTGTAAGATTAAAAATCCACATAATTCAATAAATGGGATGACTCATTATCACTTGGGATTTCTACAGGGGAAGAAACTAGAGTTCACAGCAGTTGTTTGCTCAGCTAGTAAGTGGTGGAGACAAAACTGAAATCTTGGTCTTCCCGCTCTGTTCTTCCCTGCTGCCCAGCCTCTGTACCCAGCACTTCATTAACCACTCATGAAAAATCCTCCTCTGGGGCGCCTGGGTGGCTCAGATGGTTAAGCGTCTGCCTTCGGCTCAGGTCATGATCTCAGGGTCCTGGGATCGAGTCCCGCATCGGGCTCCCTGCTCCTTGGGGGCCTGCTTCTCCCTCTGCCTTTCTCTCTCACTCTGTCTCTCATGAAAAAAAAAAAAAATCTTTAAAAAAAAAATCCTCCTCTGACCCTGCCACCCCAATGCGCAGCTTTTCCACAACCAAGAGAAAGGTTTTCCTCCTAAGTAGGACAGCTGGAAGTATTGATAATAGAGAAATCACTTTGTAGTCTCAGCACTCACTTAAAATTTAGGAGTGAATGAGTATGTGTGTATGTGTGTGTGTGTGTAAATTGGGGTTGGACCTTAGGACTGTGAGCCTTGAATTGCAAATAGGAGTGGAGTCCAATAGCAGGACTTGGAAATCCAATGCCCTAAGTTCTTACAGATACGCCTCCAAGCTGCTCTGTAAACCCGGATGAGTCACACTCGCAGAACTGTTAAGACGGAAGCAATTTTAAAGGATGTCACTATTACAGAATTGTGATGAACAATAATGATAATACGTTCTAAATAGTCAATTTTTAAAAGACCCATGAGAGTGATTCTTGCACTATCCCAATTTTCTCAGTGCTTATTGATCTTTATGGACCGTGTTCTACCATGAGTCTTGTCTGTTTGTACTCTTTCCCTGTCCCAGTGAATACCTCTAGAATTCATGACTTACGACTGTGCAACCATTCATTCCCACTAATCCTGTTTCTGATGTGACTTTAGAATCTGTTCCGGCCTCTGTGTTCACACTCTAACTCTCCTACTCTTTCAGTAATTCTCACTTAGTCGCCATAGGCTCCTAACACTTATACCTGCATTTTAAATGATCGTTCTCCATTATGTCTGCTCCACCCTCGGATATTTAAATAAATTCAGACTGCTATGTATCTCTCAGAGTAAACAAAAGCTCAGCTTTTGGCTGTCGCTGGCTTGGCTATTTCCTTCAACAGGCTCTGGTCTTCAATCTCTTGGCATTCTAGTCCAGCCCCTAATACCAGTCGCAGAGACTCTGGGCTTTGATTACCTCGGGTGGACGTGCCTCTCTTTCCCTCTGCATTCTCTTTGACCTAACATCATTCCCATTCATAAGCCCATATCTGCAACTGGGGGTAAAAAATTCTTTTCATTGCCCCATTCTGGCTATGATTACGTCATTTTAACCCATCAGCCTACTCATCCTGAAAAAGAGAACAGGCAAAGTCTGTCATTAATGTGTTGTTCCAACACTCAGATTGTAACACGGTACTCTCTGATTCCGGTGCCAACAACAAAATGTTAGTGTGGTTGTCCAAGGTTTTGTGACTTGGCTGGTATGAGGCACGAAGGATCTTTGGTAACAGAAGGCTGGGTGGTAAGGAAAACAGAAGCCAGCACTTTGGGCCCACCCACCGGTGGAATGGAAGGTAGACTGGGGGGTACTGACCAAGCATCACAGGCAGGGCCTGGGGAAGATTAGATGAGGCACAGGCAGGCGGGCTCACCAGTCTCAGCTACCAGTCCAGAAGCTGCTCCTGCTTCCGTGGCAGCCAGGCTGGCAACAGAGTGTACTCAAGTTTTTACCTTAAAAAGCATACATATAGGGTCACCTGGCTCGCTCAGTTGGTAGAGCGAGCAACTCTTGACCTCAGGGTTGTGAGTTCAAGCCCCACACTGGGTGTAGAGATCACTTAAAAAAATAAAAAATCTTAAAAAAAAAAAAAGCATACGTCTAAACCCTTGCTAGAGACTCCATTCATTCCTTCAGTAAATTGTTTGGCACCAACAATATATGAGGCATTGAGGACACAGAGCCGGCATGGTAACTCCCATGGCAAGCTCTGTTAAATAACTTGGCACGCACCGTTCTTCTTTATTGTCTTGTCAATGTTAGAATGGGTTTTGGACCAGGAGATGTGGCTTCTAGCCAATGCACTTATGCAAACAATTCTCAGATGGGCCACAAATATGTGGCCAAGATAACATTACGGCCTCCATTCCTGCTCTGGAATAATGACGCAATTTTTCAATAAAAGAAATCCTTCATAGACAAATAACAAAAATACACATTGGTGGTTTCTGGATGTTTTGAATTTTCCAATCAGTTTTTTCAACTGGCCATCCCTCTATATTCAGTTCAAAAAAAAAAATCCCAACCTGGAATCTTGGATAGTTAATCATCGCAACACAGTTTTCAACAATACACCCATGTGTTTATGCTAACAGTCAAGAGTACTTGGTGACCCAACATGAAATGATTACATTTTGTTGAACTCGTGTCTTACAGCAGGATTGATAACAAAAACAAAACAAAAAACTAGTCTCTTGAGAAGAAACTAGTTCATATCACTAAGACTCAGTGTCCAGTGAGAAAGAACACTTCCATAAATAAAGAGGCATGTCATATTCTTGGCTTGGAAGACACACATTGTAAAGATGTCACTTTTTCCTAAAACCAACCTATAAATTTATTACAGTCTGATAAAAATTCTAATGGAATTCTTTTGGAACTTGGCAAAGCAATTTTAAAGTTTGGAAGAATAAAAATATATAAGGAAGATCCAAATACACAAGGATATTCTGGAGGACTTTGGCAGTCATTGAAACTGCAGTATTTACCACTGACATATATTGGTTCAGGAACAGACAGATCAATAAAACAAAATACTGAGCACAGGAGCAGATCCAAATAGGAATGGGATTTGGTTATATAATAAAGTGGTGAAAAGAAATGTGTTACTCAGATATCTTGGCTAGTCATTTGGGAAAAGAACAAAGCTGGATCCCTACCTTGAACTTCCAGATGAAATAAAGATTTAAGTGTTTTAAAAATCACAAAGCACTGAAAACTCTTCAATGAATGTTTTTGTAATTTCCTAGTGAAGGAGGCCTTGAAGGCTGACACTCGGCCCATCACTGCAAATGGTCTTGGTGTGACTGGGTACACTGCCTCCTCCTATAGGAGCTGGAAGAGACGGGTCCTCCCCCAGCCCACGCGTCATGGCCTTGTAGCGGGGGAAAACACCCTGTGACTTGCTGACTAGAGAAGAAAGTGTTCAAGACTGGCTCTTACCTGATACATCCACACTAGCACAGTTATTGCTGTGGGTCCACCCACGTAGGGATAGCCTTGAAGGACAATTGGAAGGAACATCTTCCTAGGGTTAACACTCCAAGCAGTGTAGGGGCACCTGGCTGCCTCGGTAAGTAGAGCATGTGACTCTTGATTTCGGGGTCGTGAGTTTGAGCCCCATGCTGGGTGTAGAGATTCCTTAAAAAATAAGTGAATTATAAGAAAAGAAAAGAAAAATGTTATTCTTAAAAAACAAACAAACAAAAAACTCTAAGTGCATCTCCTCGCCCACCTTCCTGGAAAGAGCAATGGCCTTAGAGTTTAGAATCCACGGCTTCAGTCAAGGGACACATTAACGATTCCACTGAATTGGAAAAGGAAATTCTTATCTTGCCGTTTTTTTTGGCGCACAGAAAAGAAAGCTCAGGTGTAGGCTGGGTGATTAATTCCGATTATAAAGGGAGAGAGAGGTATTATAGTGTAACAGGAGCAGAAACTCCTCATAACTCCATGGCAGTGCTAAAAGTCAACAGGGCGTGCTTAGAACACCACACAGGCGGGGCTCAGATCCCTTGGAAATAAAAATTTGGGTTGGTCCAATGAGTAAAGAGGCCCGACCAGCTAAAAAACAAATAGAGGGCAAAAGATCAGTTTTGTTTTTTCAAGATAGTATAAATGCATTTTGGCTTACGAATCCCAGGAAGTAGACTGACTAATATGTCAGTATATTTCCATTTTAACCACAAAGTCTGGTCAAGGTTCAAAGAGAAAGACACATTTTTTTGCTAACCAGTAGTTCTGCAGAGGAGTTTATAGCATCTGCTACTTTTCATCTTGCTCTCTCTCTCCGACCTCCCTCACCCCTGCCTCCAGGCCCTGAGAGCTCTCTCTCCTTGCCCTACAATACTCATAGGGCCTCAGTTCGCCATGCGAGTTCCACCTTTATACACTTGCATCTTGTGCTCCTCCTTCCATGGCTGCTCACCTACTAGGGGTTCAACCTAATAGTCCTCTCTAGCCTCATGAGTATATGCCCAACAGAACTGATGACTTCCTTCCTACTTCCCTTGGAGTACCTAGAACATTCTGTCAGCATTATGGGTTCGTGTTTGTCTCTGCTTACCAGATTTACCTCTAAAACCCAGGGTTTGGCACCGAGAATAGCACCTAGTAGGTGCTCAGCAGTTCTTGTGAAGTACTGATGAATCACCAGTGTTAGAGGCAGGTTGAGAATGAACAGACTTTCAGCCACAGACTCTATTTATTTATTTTTATGATTTTATTTATTTATTTGAGAGGGAGAGAGAGCAGAGGAGCAGGGCGGGGAGGGGGGCGGGAGGAGACGGGGAGGGAGAGGGACAAGCAGACTCCGCACTGAGTGTAAGTCCCACACGGGGCTGAATCTCACAACCCTGAGATCGTGACCTGAACTGAAACCAAGAGTTGGGAGCTTAACAGACTGAGCCACCGAGGCGCCCCTCAGCCACAGACCTTAAATGGAAAAACTATTCCTCTAAATGTACTCTACCCTAAATAACTAAATCTTATATCCACAAGCATTTAGAAAGAGCCAGAATTCATTCTATTCCCTAGAACATGTAAAATATAACTATTTTTCAGACCCAGTATTTAAGGGGGAAGGGTTAGGTCAGCTTCCAGGCCTGTGGGTCCAAAAAGACAACAGTAGCAACCAGTTGGCCTTTTTCCACCTTTGACTCTGACCACGTGATTGTCCTCTCTTCGGTTTAAAGGGCGAGAAGAAGTTGTACAAACACACAACAGGGGTCTCTAGTGCGTTTTTCAGGATTGGCAGCTTCAGTGACCACTAAGGCTAGGAGGGGTTTGGTACTATTGGTGTATGTCAGTTTGCATCTTCAGTACAAACTTCAGTCACTCACTGATTGAGTTCTGCCTTCCCCTAACAGTTTCCCAAGGTATGATAATTTGTTTGCAAATGCACTGTATATTAATAGCACGTACAATTCTGGGAAATTTCCATCTTCCTTCTTTTTTCTCAAAGATGCTTTTTTCCAAGGGGCCCATTTTTATCCACCACCATTGTTAGAGTATACTTAACATGGCAGGAGTCTCATGATTTCTCCAAATGGTCCATATTTCATCCTGAGTGTGTTTCACTCATTTTTGTATCTGATTGGCCTAATTCTAATGATGATTCCGCCGGGCATGGGACTACTCACATCAAGCTTTCCGCTCAGTGTAGTTACTGAGTCAGATTTTCTTTCCACAAACTCAGAGCAAATTAGGTACCATTGGGGAGCTACATTAAAGCTTTTGGGATAGTGGAAGCGATTTTATGTACTAAAGCAGTAATTTACCAAATGTTCCTTAGTGATCTGAGAAAAAATTGCCGAGTTTCTCATGGGTTTTAATTTGTTTCCAGGAAGTTAGTCAAAGGGAAGATCTGAGTTAATATGAACAAATGGACAATCTTAGATCTTACCTGTTCTAAAATCAATAATGTTGCCTAATTAAGTGAGCATGTACAGGAAATGTGCTCAAAGACACAAGCCTGGCTCTCTGAACACTGAAATTTGCTCTGTTTTCCTCTCCAAGGAAAATAACCTAAGGAAAAATTCTGTTTGCCCCTCATGGCTTTTCTCAGGATTAATTTTTTACTTTACACACCAAGTGATAGTTAAAACATGCACTTTTCATCTCAATTACCACATATCAGGCATCTCTTGTCCACAGTGTACTCTTGAAACATATTCGCCATTTTAAACTTAGAAAGTCAGTATTTATCAAATTGAAAGAGGAGTCCTCTAATGGCTTCATAAACTACCTTTCCCCATTTCATTACAATCACCGACAAATCTCCAAACACTCTACAACCTCAGTGGAGCCTCTAGCACTCTACTGCTTTACAATAATCTGAACAGAATGGGATATCCCACAAATATCTGTGGAGCATTCACTGTGTGCCAGGCAGTGGACCAAACACTGGAGATAAAATGGTGACTGAAAGAGGCATCATCCTTACGTTAATGAAATTTACACTCCAACTGGAAAGATCGACATAGCAAGTCTTCATATAATAAATGTCTAATCAAAACTCTGAGGATTTTGATCCCAATAATAGATGGAATCCATTTGGATCAAGGTCCCCACTGACCTTCGAATGGCTAAATCCAATGGTCAGGTTTTGGTCAATCTTACTCAGCTTCTCAAAAGGATTTGATATAGTTGACCACCCCCTCCTTTTATAAACATTTCTTCAGTTGATTTCCATTTCCGTGGTATACTCTAAAATTTGTAACCCCTAAATTCATTTATGACTCCCAAATTCATAGTTTCGGCCCCAGTCATTTTTCTAAATTTGACACCCATATGTCTTATCTGCCTACTCAGCATTCCCTCTCAGATATGTAATAGCATCTCAAACTAAACATGCCCCAAACTGAATTCCCTTCTCTACTCCACACAAACTTACCTCTTCCTTAGTGCTCACTCTTTTACTAAATGGGAACCCGTATTCATTCAGCAATCAGGCCACAAATCTTGGAATTGTCCATAGCTTTCTTTTCCTTCATACTCCTCATTCAACTTAACAAAAACTCCTGTTGGATTCTCTTTCAGCCTATAACACAATTTCACCATCTCCCACCACCTTCATCAGTACTCTTTTAGTCCAAGACACCATTTTCTATCATCTGGATCATTCTAGTGGATTCCCAACTGATCTCTTTGATTCCACTCTTGTTCTAGTATGTACAGCAGTCAGAGAGAACCTTGTAAAACATAGGTCTGATTATGTCATTTCCTTGTTTATATCCTTTTGATGGCTTCCTGTCTCACTTAGGGTAAAATCCTTACCGTGGCATAAAAGGTTCTATATGATCTGGTCTTCACCTGCCTCTCTGCTCACCTTCCCTCCTACTCTTCTTGATATTCCTTGAGTTTGCTCTGTACATTCCCATTTTGGGGTCTTGGCATTTGCTTCCCTCTGCCTAGGATGTTGTTCACCTAGATATTATGATGGCTCTTTTCTTCAGTTCAGTTCATGCATGTCTCTGTTCAAATTTCAACTTTCAGAAAGGACTTTCCTTACTACTAAATTAAACTACTAAAACAGCACTCCCTCCCCATCTCTTTCTCTCAACCCTCTTGACCTGCTTTGTTTTCTTTCCAGTTCTTATCAACCCCTCACATTGTGTGTGTGTGCGTGTGCACGTGCGCATGTGCGTGTTTAATGTGTGTGTGTTTATTGTGTGTCTGTATTAGGATGTAAGATTCAAAAGCACAGGAAATTTTGTCTCATTCACTTTTGTATTCTCAGTGCCTAGAACAATGAGTGCCTGGCACATTGGAAGTATTCTTCAAATCTAGGTTACATAAATGAATGTGATGATGGTAAAAAGGAAAACTGCAGGGGATGGTAAGATATCGTACGTGGACATAATATAGAGTGAGGTGTCAGGGAAAGAGGCAGATACGCATTCTGGTGAACATTTATAAATAGAAGAGGCCACTGTGCTAGTGTGGATAGCAGAGTTCTCTAATAGTCTCAAGACAGTTGCTCACCCCTCCTTCTGAGCTGACCCATGGCAGGTAAACATAAAAGCTCTATTGAAGAAAAATGTTTTTCAGGTATAGTTTGGTTTTGCTTTTCCCAGAGAAATGTGACCAGCAGTATCCCATTTATCTGTATGACAGATCTGGTAGGTAGTTGGACAAGAGAGATGAAAGGAGAGGGAAAGGAAAGGAGTAATACCAGTGTTGTCTTAGGGAAAAGGCAGTGAAACAGAGAGGTCTTGTGACATGCGCAGCATAACAACAGCAGCGCTCGACATGCAGTTGATCCTCCTAATTTATTACTGATCTCTGCTTCCGGGGGGTGAGGGGGAGAGAAGTTTCTGCATATCTGTCCAGAGTGGATATGTTTTGTATCTCCTCAGCCCGAACTACCACCTGTCATTCTCCTCACGACTGCCTTCAGCTCTGAAGTGTGGGAAGTGGGAAAGGTATAAGGAGAGAGAAGGTGCTCTGTACATATTTGTTGAATTGATAAATTAGCAAGTTTTGTCGAATATATTCACATGTACACATGCACAGGTACAATTCCCAGTGATGTGGGCTCAGGTGAAGAAAAGGAATGTAATTAATAGCATGAACAGAATTGAAATTTATGGAACTGGGACATGGGATCAAATGGCAAATTTACCTAAATTTCTCTGGCTTCTGTGTTTTTACTCTTAGTGACCCCTCAACTGTCAGATAGTTCATATTTATGTCAAAGTATCTTTGCTTAAAGCCTATGAAGAAACTATATTCATCGGGCACAACTTTATGGACGTATCAGATTTAATTGTGTAACTTCTGTTTTCCCACTTCAGGCCAGGCACATGATACGGTCAGACCGACCATTAACAAGCAGCATCAGTTTGACTTGGCCCACAGCAGGCCTTCATTCGGCCCATGGGGGGGAGGCAGTCCACAGCTGTGTGCCTGTGGGTACCGCACAGCATCTGACACCCCCCTTCCTGCCTCTGACGTGGGCCCTCAGGCTGTTGCTGTCTGTGCACGTCTCTATCTCAGCGTCTCTGCCATCCCTCCCTGTTTCGCTCCCGGCCCTCCAAACACTGTTCTCCTCTGGCCGCCTGCCCCCAATTTCTGATGCACAGAATGTTCTGCTCTTTCTTCCATGCGGCCTGCCGGAGTAGCATGACCTGCAGTGCCTGGACATCACATTTATGTCATAACCTGCTGTGGTCTGAATACTGGGGTGCTGCGTTTGAGAAATTCACTCTGCCTTGCTTCCTACTCATAAGGCAAGATGACAGGTTATGGAAGATAATGTTAAGTGGCTACTGAAAGGCCTCTCCCGAACCTCCTGTCCATTTGTGCCTTTCACTCTACAGCCTGCAAAGCAGCATCCTTGCTTGTCCATCATTCCGTGCATCCAGAGAGGCCCTGGGACCCAGTTCTGGCCCATGGGGCACGCCTGGGGCTGCTGGTCAAGGGAGAGCGGTGGCTGAGAGCGATTCTACTTTCCTGAAAGAAACAGATGAGACCAGCATTGCTTCTTCCTGTCTCTCCCTTGCTTTCTCTCCCGAGTGCAGAATTGATGGCTAGACCTACCGTGTCATCATGTAACTGGAAGAGAAAGGTCAAAAGAATCAAATGCATCAGCCCTGACATCACCAACTTGGAGAACCAAGGCCAGCACTTCTTGTTAAGTGAGAAAAATAAGCTTCTGTCTTTCCAGTGGCTGTAGGTGGTTCTCCTGTTATTTATGGGTGAACGTAAGTAACAGGTACCGCTTCACCACATCACAGCCCCTTTTCAGAGCTTTGTAAGCAAAAGCCCAGGGCCTCTTGGTCACCATGAAAGAGCTAAGATGTTTTTATTTTTTAACATAGGCTAACTGGAGGATAGAGCTGAATTATTCAAGAAAAGGGAGGGATCTGATCCGGGGAAAGAAAAAGAGTCCCAAGATTGGGAAGGATGGGAAACCGTTAGACTCTACAAAGAATGGGGCCTCGAGTGGCTCCCACACAGTACCCAGAGGGGTAGGACCTCAGATGGATGTTACCCGTGTTACCAAGTGCCACAGTCCTGAGAGTAAAGATAGGATCCTCTGTAGCTAAGGCTGTGGTCAGTAAAGAAGTCCATGATAAAGGTACCTATCCACCCGCTGAATGCTTGGAGACAACTGAGAAGTGACTGAAAATGGCATCATGTAGTAGCAGAAGGAGCAAGTGTAGCTCTGGCAACCGTGTAGACCAAGGGCCAGGCCTCCTGTTGACCTACAGGTTCTTACGTTTGTGTGCGATCTGATTGTGGGTGGAGAGGGAACGGCAACACCTCCTGACTAGCACTGGACTTTCCGTCTGCCCTAATACATACATAGGGGAGTAAGCTAGACTTCATTTTTTAACCTATGTCTTTAAGGTAAGTTTCTTGTAGATAGTATATTCTTGGTATTCTTGGGTATTGGTTTTCTCTCTAATCTTTTCATTTTATCCAAGTAATTTTTGTGATTTAATTAGTGTGTTTAGGCCATTTACATTTAATGTAATTGTGATATGGGGATTAAAATTTACCATTTTATAGCTGTTTTGTTCATTCCATCTCTTTCTGCCTTCTTTTGGATTACTTCAGTGTGGAGGGGTTTTCTTTTGTTTTGTTTTGGTTTTCTGCTTCATTTTATAACTACTACAGACTTACTATTTTTACCTCATTTTCAAAAAATTTCAAAAAATTCAAAATTTTTTAGGTGCTTACCCTAGGATTTAAATATACATCTCTAAATCATAAGAGTCCACCTTCAAATAATATTATAGTACTCCATATACTGTGTAAGGGCCTTACAACAATGTATTTCCAATTCTACCCTTTCACCCTTTGGGCTATAGGTAGCATACGTTGCACTTCTACATATGCTGTAAAAACAAAATATATTGATACAACTGATCTTTGTTTTAGATAATCCGTTATCTTTTAGGGAAGTTAAGATAAGGAAAAAAAGATTTTTATATTTACCTTCATTTATATCAGAGGTCTTCCTCTCTTTGTGCAGATCTGAGTATGAAATAGTATATTTTTTTCTAAAGTCAATTAAAAATATTTTCCTAAAATTGTATAAGGAAAACCTTACATCATCCAAGAGACTGTTTGTCAAGGTCCATAGAAGACAAGAATTGATATCAAAGTTGCTCCTTTTCAATGTGTGCGTACATCAAACAGCATACTGAGTAGTTGACCATTTTTCCTCTTTGGAAGGACTCTTTGGTATGGTCATAGTTAGTATATGTAGTCAAAATATCTATATTCAAGTCTTTATATAAAGTTCAAACTTTAAGACTCTTTTGGACAACATGTCATTACTGTCACTAAGTATAAAAATTATTCAAAACATGTACTTTTTTTTTTAAATTAATTGTTCAAATTTTTATTTTGATGCACAGTATGAGAAATGAACTTTTAAATCAACTAAATTTTATGGATAATGAAACAGCAAATAAATTAGACCCATGTTAAAATAGAAGGTCAGTTAAATGTCCAAACTTAAGGATATAAGAGCCACAGATAAACTTCGATTCCACAGTCTTCTTTAAAAGGTCGAAGTCTTTCAAACACAACTTTGCTATGAACTAACTGGTCCAGAGCTCAACAGCACATGGGAATGTTTAACAGGGGTGGTGATCAGGGACATGTTTCCTTGGTGCTGCTTTGATAATGTTGTCCACACGAAGAATTACCTCTGCTGCTTCAGCTGCACTCAAAAGAACTTGTCGCTTTACTTGGAAACTTTCTGTTATACCCAGTACTGCCATATCTCCGATGGTACCTTCCTTCATATCCAGTCCAGCAGTTGTATTGCCTTCACTATGGGCAGCTCGGAGCTGTGCCACCAGATCCGCACTGTCATAGCCTGCATTATCAGCTATGATAGTTGGCAGCATTTTCAGGGCCTTAGCATAAGACTCCATTGCAACAGCTTCTTTGCCTGGTGTTCTACTGGCAAGCTGTGTCACAGCATGAGCCATCAGCATCTCAGAACAACCTCCTCCATAAACTGTTCTAGAATCCTTCACAGTTTGGGCAAGAACACAAAGAGCATCATGCAAAGATCTTTCTGCTTCATCTATAATTTGTTGAGTGGCACCACGAAGAACAATGGTACAAGCTTCACCAAGGGCCACCCCAGAAAAGTGGATGAGTTTATCTTCTCCAATCATGACTTCCTCAATAAGCTTGCAACTTCTGAGCTTCAC